AGTGAAACCCAACCCCAGCCTTCTGAACAAGCATGCATGGCCCAGACTTTCTCTTCCGTATAGGACTTGGACAAAAGTGTTTCCAGCATGGCAGGGGACAGCCCTTTTGTAAGCCTCCAAGGCTACTAGTCTTCAAAGGCGGCCAGTGTGGCACCAGGTATGGACGTAGAATAGTAGGGAAAACCCTCCTCATGGGGCCTGGATCAAGCCTTACCTGAACCTTCCTGAATTTAGCAAATCTCCCTTGGACTGAATCTGTACACTCTCCTGTCACTTATAGTCAAAAGAGATTTCACTGATAAACTTAATTTTCTGGCACACACCCTGGTAAAACTAAGTAGGCTAGTAAGGTCAAAGCTGCTACAATTAATGGGTTCAGAGAAGAGGAAATAGATGTTTCTCTTTGGGCTTTGGGACTCACCACTTAGTTTCTAGCTGTGTGACCTTGGACAAGTCCCTAAACCTGAGATTCTATTTCTTCAAACTTCTGAGGTCTATGTAGGGGCACAGAAAGATAATATACATTAATCATAAGATGCCCAACAGGTGCTCAATAAATGGACCCCACACTATGGCTCATCTAACATTGCCTAGTTACAGAAAAGAGGGACATGCTGGTTGCCAACCTCTCTGAGTCTTATTCTTTCATCAGTAAAATGGGGAAGGCATTTTCTCCCTCTTGAGAAGATTCAAGGATGAGAGTGTGATTTCTTTGTCTACTGTCCCTAATACGGTGTTCTACAGACTGGGTTGACCCTTTTCCCACCCTTCTCAGGGATCCCCCTCAAGGGGTATGCTTCAAGGTGCTGTTGGATTCTCGCCTGCCTGTGACTTCAACTTCCTGTCCACCCTTATGAGATCACACCTCTGAGCTCTCCAGACATTCCAGATGCCTCCCAGGTGCCCCCAGACAGTATCGAGTCCTGGCTGCCCTCTCCTTTCAGTGGGGTTCAGGTCAGTCCCCTGAGCCTTGGTCTCTAAGTTGTAGCAGCTGTAGTTGAGCTTTAGGGAAGTTGTGATCAATATTTGGGGATTCTCAGTTCCCATGTACTCTCCCTGGGAGAGGGGTGCCCCTCCTCCTAGGCTCAGAGCCTTCTTAGATGGCACTGCCATGCTCCTTGAACCAGGCTGGAAAACCCAGTCATTTAGTGAGATGTTGATCTTAAGTCAATCTGCTTGAGTTGAGAGCCAGCAAGGAGATGAGAATGCCCACCTCCAAGGAAGATGAGGTCATAAGGTTCGGGCATGATCCATGGCGTAGTCCAAGGGTTCAGAGTGTAAACGGAGGTGGGGACCTGTGGAAGACAGGGCGCTTTTGCACGTGATCCCTTCCTCTCACCCCTCTCTGCTTCCCGGCCTGCTCAAGGCAAGCCATGCTGCTCTGCCACAGGATGTTCTGCCCACACAGGCCCAGAAACAACACAGCAACAGCTAACCAGAACCGCAGCTTCTGAAACCATGAACCCAAGCGAATCCTCCCCTGAGGACTGTTTTGCTCAGGTACCTGTCAGTGGCAAAAGCTAACACACCAGGGTGTGTCCAGCTGGTCTTTGGAGCTGCTCCTTCCACCATGCACCTAGGCTCCAGCCTGCCTTCCCCTTCCCAGTCCACCCTCTGCTCTTTTCATCAAAGAAGCTCATGATGAGGCTGGAGAGATGGCTCTGCAGTTCAGAGCACTTGGTGCTCTTGCCGAGTTTGGTTCCCAGCACCCATGTTAGGGGGTTTACAACTGCCTGCAATTCCAGCTCCTGGGAATCTGACACCCTCTTCTGGCCTCCATGGGTACTGCACGCGTATGTACACACACACACACACACACACACACACACTCACAAATAATTTTTTAAAAGAAGCCAATGGTGGCAAGAGAGGAGTGTGGTGAATCCTTGCCATTCATCGCCCACAGTCAAGAATGGGAATCCATGGTGAACCATGCCCGTGCCTGGATGTTCACTTTCATGCTGGGGTGAGGAGAGGAGTGTTTCATGGTGTTCATAAATACCCAACAAACTCATGTTGAACTCATCCATTCACTCACACTTTTTGAATCTCTCCCCTTAGACAGCTGTCTGCAACCCAAGGTATCACATCAGACTCTTAACAGACCAGGAAAGTGATGGGCATTTCCCTTAAAGAGGCCCTTGTTAGTGGTACTTTGCATACACCATCAGGGGTGTGTAGCCCCCCTTCAAGCTCAAGTTTGCCCTTGATAGTTGTGTTTTGCAGATGATAGACTGGGATAGAGGAAGGAGTTTGTCCGAGAACGTGCAGGCCATCTCCTCCTGCTAGGCACTAGGCCATCATCGCATGGGAGTGTCTGCTCTGCTCCCTGATTCCGGCTCACAGCGTGAGCCCTTAGTACCCCACGTATCTGCCAGAGCCAGAGCCAGCATACCTATGCTACAGGGTGTAGTGGAGACACCGCATGTACAGGAACCTACCTCAACCCCTTGCCCACAGCAAATTCCCATTTTAATATTTTCTTATTTTTCTTGCCAAGTTTGGGAGGAAATAGCCTCTCCAAGATGATCGTGGAAGGCTTCATGGAAGAGGTGTGCCCTGCTTGGGGCTCAGTGCTGGGCACTGGAAGGAGGTAGGGGCCAAGGGTTATTAATAGGCCTGGCTCAATAGGCCAGGAAAGGGGTGAATGTGATACAGACACCCAGCACCATGGTTGGGGAGTACCTGACACCGGAAGGGGAGGGGGCCAGGGGCTGGGGGGAGCACCACCTCCCAAAATAGCCGAGCCAAAGCCTATTTAAGTGGCTGTCCCACCACCAGTCTCATTTCCCGACAGGATCTCCCACCAGCTCAGCTTTTCTGTGCAGACTCAGGCCTCTGCCCACCCAAAGTGAGTGACAGCTTCAGAGGTTGTGGGAGGATGGAGGGAGCTGGATGGGGAAGGCCACATTGCCACTTCCCCAGGTGGACCAGGGTGGATGCTGAGCATGGGACTCTTGGGTCCTCCACCTGTCTCTTCTGTGGGCTGGGCAAATCCCTCCCCATGGGTGGGTCTGGCCTCAGCTCTCCATATGTAGAACATAAGGGGCGGGACCAGACAGCTGCATATTCTAGTGATGCCATCACAGGGGCCCAGAGGGCAGAGGGGCAAGTGGAAGGCACATGGGGTTGAAGGGGAGGCTCTGATGGACTGAGCTAAGAGCCCTGATGCTTCATTGAGGGGGTCTCAGACCCAGGGAGGGTGTCCAGTTTGTGAGGACTCAGCAGTAGAGAGCTGGGAGGAGCGGAAAAGAAGAGAGAGTGAACTTTTACCACAGGAGCCAGTGTAGGGCTGGGGCTTGGCCAGAGGGAGAATCTCTAAAAGGCTGACAGCACCACAAGTTAGTGAGCCGAGAGATGGCCCCACTCTGTCACCACCTTGAGAGGGGCCCTGAGGCCACTTAGAGACTCCAGTCTCAGTACAGCACAAGGGTCCCCAGCTGGAGAAACACATGCTCTAACTAGGCCAGGGTGAACAGAGTCTGAGTGTTGAAAAGACAGCACTGGAGCCACACACTTCAGAGCAGGCAGTCCACCTGGGGACAGGGGCAGAGGGTGAGACTAAGGCTGAGGCTAAGGCTGAGGCAACCGCACCAGGTGCCACAGGAGTCTGGGTAGCTGAAGGGTCTGGGGCAGCTGAGGGGTCTGGGATAGGCCTCATGCCCAGAGCTATCAGGTCAGGAGCTACAGCCCTGGTGCCTTGGAAGCCAGCTGGCCTGCTCTGGCCTGAAGGTGCTGACTCACCAGGAGGGGGCAGCTGGAGTCAGCCATTCTAAGGTTTCCAGGAAGGGCAGCCTTCCAGGGCTCAGTCAGGGGAGACAGTGTTGACAGCAAGTGTCAGGGAATTTGAGCTACTGGGCAGCTGGGCAGCTGTCCCTGGTCCCTACCACCATGGGTCTTCACAATTCCAGATGCTCCCACCTGCCTCGCATCCCATTCAAGTGTTCACCCACACTTCCAACACAATACAAGGAGATCAAAACCCAGAGATGACAGTTATAACCCAAAGTAATGTAGGGACTCAGTACAGTCCCACATCTAGAACCCAAGCGTCTGGACTCTGTCCAGTGCTCATACAACTCCAAAGGCTGCTGGTCACAGCTTGAGTCTTTGGGAGACCTGGGGGAAAGATGGAGTTGGTCCCTGGTCCCATGGAGCTGGGAAGTGCTTCAGTTAACAGAAGTGATGTGTGGATCACAAAGCCTACAACGTAGTCTAGAAAGTGTGATCTAAAAGTGCTGCTCCTTCCCCAGGCATATGCCCACTTGGAAGGTGTGGAGATATTCCACACAGACTACCCAACCTTTGCCTTCCTGGGGAGATCTGGGGTATCAGGGGGAATAAGAACTAGGTTTAGAAGCCCGGAAGACCAGGAAAGGTTAGTAGAAATCTTGGACAGTAAACCTAGCACCCTCCACAGAAAAAAGCAGATCAAGTTTCAAAATGTACATCCCTGGTCAGGTATGGGATGGTGCCACACATGCTTCAGCACCTCTGGCTCTTCCTGTCCCTACCACCTTCTTTCCTGGGTCCTGTGGCTCAGGTTTCAACACCTCAGAGTTCAGATTTTTGCGGCATGAATTTGCATGCAGGACAGAAGAGAGCTACTGCTGGAGTAGTGGAGAAAGAATGAGCTTTAGGCTCAGGCTGGAGGTGCCCACGGGGATGGAGGCTGGTCCCTGTGTGTCCAGCATCTTTTCTCCCCAGCGAGATGGCATCCGCCTCTGGGATGCCAGATCCAAGACCGGGTGCCTTCTGCGTGCCCTTGACAGCAGGCGAACCTCCAGCCCCTGGGGGTGTCCCAGGTGTCTCCTAGGTTGCAGAAGTGGCCCCTGGCCCTTGCGGCCTGGCTGCAGCACCCCAGGGATGCTGAGGACTTGGGTTTCAGCGGACGCCCGCCGCTCGGGTGGCGTGGAGCGACTGAGCTGCTGGGCGGCGCGCAGCGCTGGGCGCCCCCTGGCTCAGAGCCAAGCTGGGCGGGCGTGCGCCAGGCGCGGCACTGCAGCGCTGGTCATATGAGCAGAAATTATAAGGACAGCACTTTATAAGCTTTTTGCACTTGCTCTACCCGCTCAAACAGTTGCAGGATGTCGATAACAGACTTGCTCAACTCGGAGGACATCAGGAAGGCAGTAGGAGCCTTTGCCGGTGAGCAGCGCACTCCCTGTCCCCTAACCCTCTGCCCTGTACCAGGGACATTCCGCATCCCGCTGAGCCTCCCCAGCTCCTCCTGCCCACGCGTGGCTCTCCACCCACGGGATTGGCACCCTGGTCTTCTACCTTGCAGGGAGCCGCAGGGAACGGTGCCTGAGCCACACAAAGTTGCGGGTGAGGGCGAGGAAGGGTGGCTGCCCTGGCAGGACTCAGGGTCCTGGACCAAGGGTGAAGACCCGGGTGGGGGGAGGGAGTTCCGGAGTTCTGGGGCGCGATCATGACTTCCCTTTTAAGGCGTGTGGAAGGGGCTGCAAGCGCGGGCTTTTTCTCCAAGTGACCCCATTCCTAGATCCCTATTCTGAACAGGACCTTTCCTGGAAGGTGATTGTCTATTGATGGAGTTCCCCTCCAGGACAGACCCCGAGGGCACAGTGACCTTCCAAAAGCAGGCACTCATCCCTACCCAGCCGGGCGCAGCACACTCTCAGCATGCCCAGTCCCCAGCCCCCTTAGGCTGTCCAGAGAAGGGGAGCCACCCAGCTGTGTGACCTCTTTACTCTGCCAGCAGAGACCCTAACTTAGCTGCGGACCTTCCCATTCCTCTATCACCCAGGGAAACTGAGGCTGGGGGAGGATGAGAGACTTTTCGAAGGACATTGAGTCCAGCAGAAGAGGGATGCAAATTGGGGTGGCCTCTGGTCTCACTACCCCACCCTAGTGTGTCAGAGGTGGACAGAGCAACTTTTCTTCCCTCCAACTCTGGGCTGAAGGGAGAGTGTACCTCTTAGCGTTCTCTCTCTCTCTCTCTCTCTCTCTCTCTCTCTCTCTCTCTCTCGACTTTAAAGACCAGGGTGCTTAATAACTGGGTTCCCTTTTCTCGGGGGCTTGCTAGGTCCCAGAGGCCCTGTAGGTGAGGGGGTGGGGTATCTGAACCTTAACACCCATCCCCCTGCAAGTACATAGGTGTAGATTAACAAATGCCAGGACACTCCTTCCCCAATTTCCCCACTGCCCCATCTCCATCCTCCTCTAACCTGGTCCTGCCCCCAACAGCTGCCGACACCTTTGACTACAAAAAGTTCTTCCAAATGGTCGGCCTGAAGAAAAAGAGCCCAGATGATGTGAAGAAGGTGTTCCACATCCTGGACAAAGACAAGAGTGGCTTCATTGAGGAGGATGAGCTGGGGTAAGTTGAGGTGGGGGGCGGGGCTTGGTACTCCCTTTCAAGTCCCCTTGAGAACCACCCTTCCGTCTAGGCATCCCTTAGAGCAAACAGGCTTTGCTTTGTCCCTGCAGGGCAATGACCCAGGCACCAGGGGAAGATGCCTCCTGCTTCCTGGAGGGTCAAACCCTCAGCCCAGAGTGCAACTAACTGGGTTAAATTATAGTCACTTAATATTGCTAATGGAATGGGGCTGCTTAATAATTTAATACAAATGAAGAGGCATTTATTCTGGCAGCCACACAGCGGGCAAGGCAGGAGGTATTCTTCTTAGAGTGTCATTGATTTTTGTGCATCTGAAAGTCACCTTCCCTGGTCTGGTCTACAGACCCCATGCCTCTAGACCAGAATAGTAGCAAGAGCAAGTCCCGGGCAAGCCAGGGAGGCAGAGCCAGCTCTGGGGCTTCAGAGTCCTTGGAGCAAAGCATATAGGAGAAGGTGAAACCGAACCAGCAAAAAGCCCTCCGACCTAACCTGCCTCAGCCACCTGGCCCACAGTTGCCAACCCAGCTGTGCCTTCTGTCACTTTATGGCCAAGATTGTCTTAAAATTTTCAGGAACAGAAAAGGAGGGTGCACAGAGAGGCATTTCAAGTAGGAACTTCCTCCATCTACCCTGTCTGTCTTCCAAACTCTCCCAAGGGCACCTTCTTCTAGAACCTTCCCTTACCGATCTATGCCCAATAAGTTCATGCTTATGCACACATGTGCATGCTAAGTGCTCTCTGTCCTGTAAGTATCACCACCTCCAGAAAGCCTCACCAACATATCCCTCACCCAGGATAGAGGCATCTGCCCCCCAAAACCTCCTCCATTCGTGCGTCTGTCACCACATCACAAAATGAGGTCTCTCTGTGAGGACTTGATCTCCTCTCTATTTATCCAAGTGGCTTCCTGTGAGCACTGTGGTGGCTGCAGTTTCCAGAATTTATTGAACCGGGGTTGACCCTACACAGTAGAGAGTTACTCTACTCCACACTTACCCACTAAGACACGGCCACAGACCAGACTGTCTGGCCAGCCCAGGTGCACGCATGTCCACCGCTTGCTACCTATCCCAGCTACCCCTGCCCTGCACAGATATCAGCCTGCCATTGTGGGAGGTTCTGCAAGGTGACCTTGGCCTGACTCCCTCCTGCTTTTCCTTTTTCTCCTCCAGGTCCATCCTAAAGGGTTTCGCTGCAGATGCCAGAGAGCTCACTGCTAAAGAAACAAAGACGCTGCTGGCCGCTGGTGACAAGGATGGGGATGGCAAGATTGGGGCTGAAGGTGGGTATCTGTGCCCAAGGCTCTGGGCTCCCTGGGACATTGAGATGTGTGGATGCTGAAGGTTTGGTCTGTCAAAAGAAAGGGTAGACAGGACAAAAAGATGATTCCCAGGTTGGAGAGCTCTGCCTCACAACCAGGAAGAGAAAACTCTCTCTCTCTCTCTCTCTCTCTCTCTCTCTCTCTCTCTCTCTCTCTCCCTCTCTCTCCCCTCTTTCTCTCTCTCTGTCTCTCCATATATATTATATGCATATGTATATATGTACATACATACATAAATATCCTAAATTTGAACAACCCACAAGGAATGGATTTTTTCCCGTTTCCCTGATGAGTAGGGAATGATGTAGGAGAATTTGAGATTCCCCAACTTTTGCATAGGTTTTGCTACAGGCTCTGCCTGCACTGGCTGTGTGACCTTGGGCAGTGTCTTCTCTGAACCTGAGGCTCATGTCTGTAACCAGAGGAGACAAGCCCACTGATCCCCCAGGACCCTCAGGCTCTGTGGTCTCAAGTTCCAAGGATGGAAATTCCTTATCTCCTGCCCTCTTCAGCAACTCACCCTGGTGTCCTGTAACCTCAAGTTTCAGATAGGTTTTAGCTTCATTCAAACATATTCTATCATTGTAGGAGAGCCAGGAAAAACAGTCAGCCAAGACCCAGCTGGTAATTAGGAAGCTGGCTTTTGTGTCTCTGCTCTGAGCCCAGGCATGGGCCTGGCGGCCCTTCACCCCACATCTTTGTTTGGTCACTCTGCCTGGGATCCAGGGGTCACATCCTGGCATTGTTGGCTCTCTTAGTATCATGACACTTTGCAGATGGACAAAATGAGGGTCAAGGTCTTGACCTGGTTCAGAGAGCTAGGATACAGGTTGGAGACGGACTTCCAAATCCAATCTGAATATGTCTTTGTAACCTGCTCTGCTACCACCGGTTGTCAGGGTAGTCCTTTCTGCCCATGGAAAAGAAAACTGTGTTTAAGTCCTATGGGTTCAAATCCCAGCCTTTCTAGCTGTATGACCTTGGGGGAGTCACATGACTACTCTGGGCCTCAGCTTTTCATCTCCTCTTTTGTGGGGGTTGCATGAGGATCCCATGTGCCAATATGTAAAGAGCTTAGAATGGGGTCATATGCAGGTCAAGTGCCATATATGTACTTGTTAACTAAAGGAAAATAAAACAGAGACTAGGTTGCACTGATGCCTTTGTCCCTAATATCTCTGCCCGATGCAAAGCAGGCACTTAATAAGCACCTGTTGCCAGGGACCTCAGCAGAGGGAGAAGGAACTGACACAGTAGCTTGGTGGCTCTAGGTGACTCTAGCAAGTGGCTGCTGTTCTCATCCCCATCCTCACCTGTTCCACCTGCAGGGCTTCCGCTGCAGCCCCCACCCAAGGCCTCCTCCTCCCACACCACCTCTGCACCTCTGTGGTTTTTTGTTTCTTTGAGATTTTTGTTTTGTTTTGTTTTGGTTTTTGGGACAGGGTCTCCCTATAGCCCCAGCTAGCCTAGAACTTGCTATGTAGACCAGGCTAGCCTCAGTCTCATAGAGATCCTCCTGCTTCTGCCTCCCTCCCAAGTGCTGGGATTAAAGGCATGTGCTACCACAGTGGTTTGCACCTCTGTTTTTATCTGCAGCCAATAAGACACAGCTCAGAGCCAACCCAGGGCAGAATCCTCAACTGGCCACTCACAGCCAAGCTAAGTGAGGAAGAAAACCAGGGCAGTGCTTGACCTGTTCCCTCCTCCCCGCCTCCGTCCTTGCCTCTTAACCAACCCACTAAACTCTTCCAACAGACCCACAGATAATTACCAAGGGACAACATGGTGCCCGGCATTAAGGGGGTAAAGATGAATTGGGCCTGCTGTGCAGCAGGGGCACAGTTTAAGAACAGGGGGTTACTGAGCAGCAGCCCTGGCACCCTGAGCCCCGGTCTTCCTCGTGGGTGAACACACATGAAAACATGGGAGTGTTGAAGGCCATGCCCCGCACTTAGTACACTATCAATGAACAGCTGTCCATCTATCCACAGTCCCTGTATGGCCGGCCCTGTATGTACACACACAGATGGTAGTGAGACTGAGTTTCTCTTATTTGAAATGCTCAGGACTAAGCATATCAGATTCCAGAGATGTTTGAATTTGGGAGTATTTGCATGGTGTCTCATCAGCAGCAAAAGTTTCATATTTCAGTCTCTGGATTGTGGAGGCTCAAGGCAGCAGAGACTTGGAGGTCAGAGGCTGGGATGTGTCAGGTGGGGACCCAGGGGTAGGCATGGCATGGCATCATCTAGGGCACCATCTAGGGTACTGAGGTGGGAATGATTAGAGCATATTTAGAGACAGGTTTGTCAGAAGTAAGAGAAAACTAACTACTCACTAAGCCTGCATGGTGTCTTGGGCCAGTGCTGGGCTCTGTCATCTCATTTCCCCCTGGGAAGACAGAGGACGTAGATGCCGAAAAGGCAGCTCCAAGAGTCCAAGGTCACACTGCTAGCAAACCCAAGAGCAAGGCTTCAACTCTAGTTCATCGGATGGCACTGTCAGAACCTGGGCCAGGCTGTGCTGCCAGCACTCTGCATCAGGGAGGACTATGAGAAGTGGGGACTAGGATGTTCCTGAGGCACGAGGATATCACCCTCCATGCTTACTGAGTGAACGCAGATACACTTCTTTCCTATAACCTTCCGGAGAAGGCAGACTAACCATGCCAAACAGGAGTGGCATGGGAGGCAGAGCCCTTGTCTGGGGCCTAGAAGATTCTATGGCCAGAAAGTCTGAGCTCTACTTACAGCCTGAGGATGTTTCAACTGCTGTGGGACCCTGGCAAGTCACAGTGCCCCTTGTCCTTTAGAGCTAGGGCCAGACCACTAGCCTGTTCCTGAAGTCATTTCCAGCTCTGAGACTGCACAAAGGACCATGGATCAGAACTCAGCTCTGACCTTGAATGATGGTGGCAGTCACCGATAGCTTCATGCAGCCCTTTGTATACTCCAGATGTTGCCCTGGGTACTGTCTTCTGCCATCTTTCTAGCTATCTGTGATGTGGGTACCATTACAATTTCCACCTTAGAGATGGGGACACTGGGGCTCAGAGAGGCGAGGGTTTGTTTAACCTCCCATGGCTAGGAAGAGGGCAGGTCAAGATGAGTTCAGGTCTATTGGCTTGTAGCGCCTCATCATACTGCTTGCTTTGTTCACTGAATGCACTTGGAATTTAGTGAACATCTGCCACGAGATAACTTTATCAGCTGACTTAAGGCTTGCTTCTCTCTGCCCCACTAGGATGTCAGCTCCATATAATAGGGACTTTGCTTCTTCTGTTCTTACCCCAGCACCTAGGAGCATAGTGGGAGAACAAGAGAAATGTGTTTGAAGAATCAATGAGGGAATAAATGAGTGGGGAATGAATGAATGAATGAATGAATGAGGAATAAAACAATGAGGGAATGAGGGAGTGAATGAATATGTGTCTTCCAAGGCTGCAGTGAGGAGAGAGTACTTCATGCCTACCCCAGCATGTAGGGAGAGCCTCTCTATAGGCCAAGGCTGGAGACAGTCCGGGTAGGCTGGGGCTTATAGCCACAGGTGCATAGGGATCACAGAGCCAGCAGTGGCCGATGTCACCAGTTCTACTTGTCTGAGGATAATGAGGTTTGTCAGGTTCCTAAAGCTCTCAATGATAGGGGGGGAGAAGGAAGCTAAAGTTCTAATAACACGCCTCAGAATCTGGTCTCTGGGGCAGCTCCTTCCAGGAAGCTCAAAGCCTTTTATACATGCCATCGATTGTCAATAGCCACCCTAAAGTCTGGTACGGATCAGGGAGGAGAGGAGGCAGAAAAGGAGAGAGGCTGAAAAGAGGAGGCAGGGGCCCAACAGTCCAACTGTGGCCACAAGGGCCAGGCAAGAGGCAGGCAGATGCATGCGTGGCAGGGGTCTCCTTCACGTCACTTCTCCCGCCCAGCCATGGGTCTCAAATTGGAGTTGGTGTCAGAACCACTGAGGGCTTTGCACAGGTCAGGTAGCCATGGCCCTGCGGCTCCCACCCAGAAGCTTCTGATTCCTAAGGTGGGGACCAAGTGTCTGCAGTTCTAATACATTACCCAGTGATGCTGATGGTCTGGGGAACCACACTGAGAACCAGGGTCTTTCAATAATCCTAGGAGGTAAGGGCTATCACTACCCCCATCTACCAGTGAGGACCCTGAGGCTCAGACAGGCTATATAGCATGCCTGAGATCCCTCAGGACACAGCCAGGACTGAGCGCAGGGATCCTTCCAGTACCTGCCTCACTACAGCTCAGGTCCCTAGCCTGGTTCTCCACACTCAATGCCTATGTACAAGGAACACTCAGCAGACAGAAACTGAAGTTAGCATCCAACTCACTTTCCTGTGTGCCAGGCACTATGCCCAGATCTAGCCCATCCAGCTCACTCCAACCTCACAGAGCCTCACAGGATAGAGCTATATTCCCTGAGCAGACAAGGAAACTGAGCCTCGGGAAGCAGAGAAACTTGCTGTGAAGCTTGGCTGTGAAGCTGAGCCTAGTGCTCTTCCCCACTGAGCTGCAGACAGGATCTGTACCACACACCATGCGTAGTCGAGCAGCCTTCCCCAGCAACCCAGACCCAGGGACACCTCTGCTTGCCTGCTTATGTGGATTCCAACTCTGTAGTCTGTTCTGTGTTTGGCTTCTTTTGCCGAAAAATGTAGTTTTCATTATTGCCAGCCCCACTCTGCAGTGTGAAGCAACTAGCCCTTCCTGCTTCCTTCTGGAAAAATCCTTTCATCCTTAGCAGCCTACTGGGGACTGGGCTTGGGTGATGGTTAGGCCCCTCAGGTGGCAGAAACCAGAATTGTCCTGAGCACAGAAACCAGCCCTGAAAACAGCCTGGCCTTTCCTCCATCCAGCCACCTGTTCCCTCATCCCTAAAGATGGGTGACATACACACTTCCCAGTCTTTTTGCTTGAATTGAGTGAATGTTCCAAAGGGATTCTTCTCCTCTTAATTTACACACGTGCCTTGTCTTGTAAGCCACCGCACCATCCTTTAGAAGGAGTTGAATCCCAGTCCACACAGAAATAGAATTGAGTGTAAGTCAGGAGGGTAGAGAGGACAGGAGACCCCTACCTCCCTCTGATTCCTGCCTGCTTGCCTCCGTGGGACTTGATGGCCTAACAAGGCAGAGGGACTTGATGTCCTAACAAGGGCCCCTGAGGTGGGCAGTGTTTAGTCATATCTCATTACAACCTCACCCCAGGAGATCTAAAAGATGGGGGCCATAGTCCCCACTGAGAGTCATGGAAACTGAGGCCCAGTAGCTGTCACAGGGCTTGTCCTTGGCAGGATGGGACCTAAGTCTTCTTTCTGTGGCTCTCCTCCCCCAAGCCAAGCTGGGCCTTTGGATTTATAAATGTTTCTGTGCTTAGCAATCTGTTCCTCAATTCCCGGGTGGACTTCCACTAGCTCTGGCCTTATGCTGCGCTAGATAAGATGGAGCTGGGAGAGGACACAGCGCTCCTTATGTAACCGGCCTCCTGGAAAATGGAGCAGCAGTCGGTCAGGGCGGAACAAGATGCCCTTTCTCCATTTATCCCTTTCCTTCGACTGCTGAGGCTGCAGCTAGAGTCAGATGCAGGGCCATTCCAGTTAGCCTTGGAGAGCAAAGACACAGCCAGACCCCAGCCATGCCTGAGTTAGCATCCTCCCAGCTGAGGGTCCCCAGCCTCAGTTTCCCAAGAAATAACACGAGGCTCAGAGCCAGTGAAGATGAAATGGATAAGACAGAGGCAGTGCCTGGCACAGAGCGAGTCCCTGGAGCTGTTGACGCTGACTCCTTGTGGCTGCCTGGCTTGACCCCAGGTGACCCTGCCTCCCCGTTCTGCAGCAAGAGAAAGTGATCCTGTTTGCAGCACCCATCTATAAGAAACCTACCCCAGAGCTATTTCAAGGAGAGGTGATAAACCAGGAACTGGTCCTTGCTTTGGTCATCGAAGCAGAGGGAAGCAGGCCTTCCAGATGCTGACTCAATGAGTCTCAGTTTCACTCGGGGCTATCAGCCTTCGCTGGCCTCACCTGTCAAGAGCTTCTAAATTTGTCCGATCCCCACAGCACCCCACACCGGGGCAGCCCTAATTAGGCTAATTTCAGTTTCCTAAGGGAAAGAGAGGAACACAGTCTGCAGGTCCTCTGCTTGCTGCCTCCCCCACCCCACCGCATCACCTCCTCTCTCTCTCTCTCTCTCTCTCTCTCTCTCTCTCTCTCTCTCTTTGGACAAGCAGAAGCAGGACATCAGCAGGTGACCCCAGAGGAACTGGGGGAGGTTCAGAATGCAGAGGTAGTGCTGTCCCTCTGTGTCTTGCAAAAGGAAAATTTTTCTAGAATTTTCCAAATGAACACTGTGCCTCATACCTCAGCAGTCATTGATTTAGTCCCTCTTGCTCTGTGTGCCTGGCACCTCTCACCTGCATCTCATGTAGCCCTTCCCATGACCTTAGGAAGAGTGATCCTATTTCACAGATGAGGACAGTGAGGTGGGGTTCTAACCAGGAAGACTGTATTGGGAACCTGTACCAGATTAGCCTTTTTGCTGTTTGGGTTTGCTGACTGCTCTGCTTCCTCATCCTTGACCTTGGTTTGGGGATTACTTTGACGGTTGTCACTTCACAGCTCTGTCAGTTGTACCGCTGAGATTCAAGGGAGGTGGCACTAACTTTTATGCCACTTCCAATGTGTCAAAGTGTGTCCACGTGTTTCCTTGGTTGCTCTTCCCAAAGGCTGTGCAAGTTGATGTGATTCCCACTTTACAAAGGAAAACTCAGGTTCAGAGAGGTTCAGAGGTGTGCATGGCTGCCCAGCCAGTAGGGATGGAGCAAGACTCGGGTCCAGGTACAGGGAGGCTGCAAGGTTGTAGGCAGATGCCTTAGTGGAGACAGATGACGGAGCCCGATGATAGCCATGGAGCGGCAAGGACACCAGCAAGTGAAGGTGACAGAGACCTCCTCTCTGCGTTGGACAGAGATGCAGTCAGGCATCTGTGGCTAGTCAGCGTGGCTTGAGATGTAGAAGTGGCTTCATGACAGCAGCTGTCACAAGCTGAGGCCTCCCTGTGCCCCAGACCCGTGACTGGGAGCTGGGAGCTCTCTCTGCTCCAGGCCTGTGACCAGGAGCTTTGGTGCTGATTGATTTTAACAGCCCCAGGAAGCAGGTAGTCTCATGAGCTCTACTTCGCAGGTGAGGAAACTGGGGCACAAGCGCAAGGAATGGAGCTATGGTGGCCCTCAGCTTGCGTGCTCCAAATGAATGAATTAAAGCAGGAAGGGCATGTCCTCGACCTGGTCCCTCCCCAAGGAGGAAGGCAGAATAAGGGTGAGGCCTCTGTCCAGGCGCCTAAGCGAATGGCAGAGCAGACTGAAACCCCGCTCTCTAACACCCCATTCCCATCCTGGGACCCTATGACCAAGCCTGTTGACCTAGACTTTTCAAAGTCTGCATGTCTGTCATTTGCTTTTCTTTGGGGTGAAAGGGGACGTTTTAGAGGAGACCTTTGACAAGAAGGCTATTTATTAGTTAATTGACAGCTCCAAACAGCATTGCCCCAAGAGACACAAAAGCCAGGAGGAAGTGAGGTGGCCCTGCCTTCAGTGTGTCTACAGTGCCCTGGTCAGGGAACTGAGGACATAAAGTTAGAATGAGCAGATCCATAGTTTGAGGTAAAGGGCTTTCAGGAAACCCACAGGTCCAAAACACCCCCCATCATCCCCCATCTCCCCAAAGCCCTGCTTCCTACCCTTGATCTGCTGACACTGGCTGCACCCAACCCTGTCCAGACCTCACCCCATCTCCAGTCCCATGTATGTCACAACTGATCCCAGCTGGTGTGCAGGGGTGAGTGACATCTTGCTGAAGAGCAAAGAGCCCATCAGTATGATGGTAAAAGTCCAGCTTCCCTCTGACAGTCCCCATGAGCAGCACTGGGCAGCTTCATGCCTCCATAGAGGTTGGGCCACTGGCCTGGTCAGTAGGGCCCACAAGGCCAGAGGACAGGTCACACCCCTGCCTCTTACCTAACATCTCCCTGAGGCCTCACCTCTTCAGCCCCCATTTTCCTATCTGTAATATGGGAATCACCCTGCATACCTCCCAGGGCTAATTACAGCAAGTCAGCACTTGCTGAACCCTAAAGAGGACTCAGGAGCACTAATGCCCATCATTCCCACCCCATCCATCCATTCAACATTCAATTAATAGCACCAGCAGCTAACAGAGTGGTGAGACAGGGAGGTAAGTGGGGGAGACTGGCAAGAATAGATAAATAAGATCATTTCAGTGTGCTAAGACCGTGAGGTAAATAAAAAAGAGCTAAGGCGATAGAGCCAGTGATGTCGATATTTGAGCGGGACATGTGTCACTCTATACCTAGGTCAAAGGAGGTCACAAATCTCCCCCAAGGAAGAAAGAAGCTGAGAGTGGCTGGAATCCTGTCTGCTGATGTGACCATGTTCAAGCTAAACTCTAGGGACTCAGTTTCCCCCATCAGTAAAATGAAGACAAGAATGCATCTCCCTGAGTGGTTTGAGATTCCGAGATAAGCTCTCCCAGGTTTGTCCCATGTGGACATTCCATAGACACCCATTACTATTCTAAGCCTGGATAGTGTTAGAGCACTACCCTCCCTCATGCCCTGCAGGCTCAGAGGGGCTCCTGGCTGAGAAAACAGGCACTCTGACACCGCACCTGGAGAAATTCTTTGAGTATTTGATGGTTATTTATTTGGGGTCCCATCCCTACCTCTCACCATTCAGCACAAGAGTCTTGGGATTTCTGGACCCTCATCTGCATGGACCCTCAATTTCTCTCACCTTGAGTCGCTGACCAGACTACCACATCCAGATCACCTCAGGAACAGAAGAGGGTGGGTCCTATTCCCATGATCAAACTACAAAAAAGCAAGAAACCAGGCTCCCTCCCATCCCAGGGCCAGGACCAGGGCAGCTGCAGGGGTGGCTGGAATTGCTGTAGGTTGGTTTGAGGATCTTTACTTTTTTATTTTGAAATCATTTAGATTTGCAGAACTGTGACAATAACAGAAAGAATAGTTTTGCCCTTTGACAGGGGTGACAGTGAAAAATGACATTGACAGGTTCTTACACAGACGTCTCATGCACAATCTGGCCAGACAGAGCTGACCTCAAGGGGATCCTGGGACCTTTGGGTGACCCTTTTGAAGCTGTTTTATACCCAGTTCTTCATCATCCTTGCTTGGAATTAGAGCTGCCTCTTTCCCCACAAATGGGGGAGGGGATGGAAACCCACATTTTCTAAGCAGAGCCTTGACCCTCACACCCCAGCCATGTCACAACACTACATTTTCTGGAGGTGACAGGGACTTAGCCCAGACCCTGTGCTGCTTGGCAGCTCGGAATCCCTGTGGATTCTCGGAGATACCCAGTGGCAAACCCTGGGTCCACTCTGACCTCCTGGGGAGGAAAACAGCAGCGATCACCAGGAAAGCTGCTGCACTCTGGACCTCAGTTTCTGCACCTGTGGATTCAGCATCATGATAAACGCTAAGATGGCAGTCAGAGCCAAAGAGGATGCTGTACATAAGTGCTTAAAAATAACCGGTGTGGAGCAGTTAAGAGCACTGGCTGCTCTTACAGAGGACCCTGGGTTTGAATCCCAGCACCCACATGGCGGCTTACAACTGTCCATAACTCCAGTTCCAGGGGATCCAATGCCCTCTTTTGATCTCCTCGGGTATCGTACAACATGGATGCACTCACACACATGCAGGCAATACACTTGTACACATAAAATAAAAAAATAACAAATAAAATATTTTAAATAGCTGGTCTGCAGCAGACTCCCAGACAATTACTACTGCTATCAGAACGCAGATGATTAATAATACCATGGTTTTCTTTCACAGAATTCTCCACTCTGGTGGCTGAAAGCTAAGAGATGCTGATTGCCTGGGTCTCTCATCCCTCCACCCTGGATGCCCCACCTCAGTCCTTCCTGCTCAGCCCTCCTGAGTTTCTGTTTGGTTTGTTTATGTTATTTTTTACTCCCCCCATCCTCTGCTGCCCTGGAATGATACCATTCTTCTGGAAGATGCTGGAGAAACAATAAAGGCTGTACCAACCGGACTCTGCCTGTGTGGAGGACCTGGGCCTGGTGGGGTGTTGTTGACTTGGCAGACTCCATGGGAGGTGGGGGGAAGAAGCTAGAAAAGGCAGGATGGATGGAAGGGAGACAACCTGATGTCACCTCCCTATAGTTATGGTATTCATGGGGGCCATCCCTTTCAATCCTTGTAGCCATCCCACAAGGGAGGTGATGGAATTCCTATCTTAAAGATGCAGAAATTAAGTTTTGGAGAAGGGAAGTGAAGTGTCTCAGCTCTCACAGCTAAGGCTGGTGGTTCTGGGATTTGAAGGTAGGTCTATACATGGGTGAATGGATGGGTGGCCATTCCAAGTCTTTTTATTATTGTACAAATGACAGAACCCCAACTCGAAGAAACTTGAGCAAACAAAAAGGGAGAAGAGGAGGAAGAGGAAGAGGAAGAGGAGAAGGAGGTGAGGAGGAGGAGGAGGTGGAGGAGGAGGGAAAAGAAGGGGAGGAAGAGGAAGAGAAAGAGGAGGAGAAAGGAGGAAAAAGGAAGAAGTAGGAAGAGCAAGAGGAGAAGGAAGAGGAGGAGGAGACGGAGGAAGGGGAGGAAGAGGAGGAAGAGGAAAGAGGAAAAGAAAAAGATCTAATTACCTTATGTACCTGAATCGTCGCCTTCAGAAATAGCTAGATCAAGGGGCTCAAATGACACCCTATTAGTTACTTTTGACTTTGCTGTGACAAAACACCTGACAAAAGCAACTGAAGGAAAAGTGGGTTTATTTTGGTTCACTTTGAGGATGACAGTGGGAAAGGCATGGGGGCAGGAGTCTGAGGTGGCTGTCACATTGTATCACATTCTAGCCACAGTCAGAAAGCAGAGAGATGAGTGTTGGAGCTCAGCTCACTTTCTCCTTTTTACCCAGTCCAGGACTCCAGACCATGGGATGTGCTGCCCACAGTTAGGGTGTGTCTTCCAGCCTCAGTTAGTTCAATCTACAAACTCCCTCACAGGCATGCCCAGAGATGTACGTTTCAAATGATTCCAAGTCCCACCAAGCTGAGGAGATTAACCATCACAGAGTCACAGAACTGAGTCCCTCTTTGCTCATCTCTGAGTATGGTTTTCCATCCTGTTAAAATAGTGATCAGGTTGCCGGGCATGGTGGCACACGCCTTTAATCCCAGCACTTGGGAGGCAAAGGCAGGATTTTCCATCCTGTTAAAATAGTGATCAGGTTGCCGGGCATGGTGGCACATGCCTTTAATCCCAGCACTTGGGAGGCAAAG